ACCTTAAAATAACAACTCCAATTCAATATTATTATATAATGTTGGATAACGCCACACGCCAAACTGTCACTGACTCCTGCAGGCCGGACTTTGGATTATGAACGCCCTTAGTGAAAACTTATCCAACATAATCCCTAAATCGAATACGCCATCTAAAATAAGGCAAATGACCGTGAATAACTACAACAATGAAAATTATGTTTGATTTGTTAATTAGGCACTACGACATTCAATGCTAACTTCTGTGTCCAGTATCACGGAATTGTTTTTTGTGTGTGTTTTGACCTAAGGTAGGATTTGATTTCAGGTCCACCGATCATGAGTCTGATGCGGCAACCACTATGCAACCAGTGACCGATTGCGGAAGTTGTGGTCTAACAAACTAAACACTCATTGTTTTTCAGTTCAAGTTAAGTAGTTCCGAATATGAACAGCGCCCTCATGGTCGTACCTATAGTGCATCCTAAATTACTAAGTTACCATTTAAGAATCAATATATGACATTGACCCAGTGATATCACGACATTAATAGTAGTAAACAGTCATACAATAATATAATACTGAATATAGGTTATGAATGCCTCTTTTCGACGTGGGCTATAACATCCACTGCACTCAAGCACTCGATATGCCCTATATAAAGTGTATTTTTGTAATCCTTTCAGATGCCAGTAGTGAGGATTGCTTAGTTTCTTCCAAGATAATTGTTAATACGGGCAATTAAACAGGATGAACTATGTATATTCATAAACATATGAGCAATGTAACTATGTTGACATTGTTTTAATATGTTCTATTTCAAGAAAACTAAAGAATCTCTTGTAGCAATGAACAATAACACTTCCACTGAAAAATCCGTGTCACTTCAGTCTTGTTTTCCTTTCGTCATATTATCGTTTATAATCTTTAAAATAAACGATGGAAGCTTCATTGTTTATTTTTGACTTATTAATGCAGATGTTGTACAATGTTGAGATGTGTGCACTAGTACATAAACATGCTACAGGTGTTCATACAGCACTTTTTTAAATTTAGGCGCCAATGTTTATATACATAACTGAACGAATTTAGCCTCTATAACCAGTTATAGTTGTTCCATACAATCACGATTTCTATGAGCTGTTCATGTGATCACCTGATATAACTTATTCACGAGCTTCGCTTCGGGGATGACACCAGCCAATAACATCACCCTTTTCAACCAGATCAGTATCATAATATTACTATTGGCACTCACTTTATTAGTTGCACAATATTTTCAAATATATAGTGAATCTGAATATGACAAAAATGTAACTTTCTCTTTCAGAAAACAAGATGGGATGTGCATCAAGTGTTCCTGTGGCGACGTCAAACACTATTCCGGCTCGTATTAAGGTACAGCATTACAATACTAATCGTAACTGAGTATGTCGTTCTGATCATAAAATACTTTACATTATGTATATGCACAAATATATTCTGCATGATGTTTGTGGCGTCAGAGATTCGACTTGCATGTCCATCTATTCACTGTAAGTCCGTGTTCATTGTACGCTATTTAGTGCCGGTTTTCTTGCAGCAGCAGTTATTGAGATGCAGTAAGCTATACATTCTTTTAAAATGGAGGAGGTTATGATTTAAACACATTATTTTGCCCAATCGAAAAGACCAAATTAGTTTAAAAGAAAAAATCTCATGTCGTCGTCCACCTGTTTGTCTGTCTGTCTGGAGAACAGCGATGGATGAATGCTTTTGATAGATTCAGGATAGATTACCTTTGACTTAAGGTAGAGATGCAGTTTACCTGACAGGTATTTTAACTAGTTAATTAGGAAACCAAGATGACCTCCCTTGTCTACAAAACTATATGTTTTCGAAAAGCTTATTGTATGAATTTTAAAATTTTGTTATTATTTTTTTATGGACACTGTAGTTTGAAATATGCACAAAAATGTGCTTTTTTGGTCAAAATTGATTTAAAAAAATAGCTTCTAAACCATGCTTCTGTATTCTGTCAAAATTGGTTTACGGGTACATCTGTTTACTATGAAGAAAGTGCCGTCTTGAAATCTGTCTACAAGTTGTCAATTTTGCAGGGCAGCAGCTAAAATTTCACTACTTCAAGTTGATGCATAAATTAACACCCAGACTAGTTGTCTGTACGATTGTTGTAACACTGTTCAACAAAAAACAATGCCCCGACGGCGTTTTGAAGATAAACACATTGTCAATCATTTGTGAAAATTTCAAAAGAAAAGGTCAAAGCGTCTAGGAGCTAAGTTCTGGGATGTGCACTATCACGAAGGTGAGATAATTGCTAATTTGCATAACAATTCACTCAGTAAGAAGTTTGCTAATGCTCATAATTAAAATGGCTGTAACAGTTCCAAATTTAAATGTCTTATCGGTTTGTTAAAAGTTAAATATAGTGCATAATATGAAGATCCCGTCATTTCTTTTTTTCACCATGTTTCTTTTTTATTATTTATGTACAGTCTTGCTAAATCTTGCTAAGCATTCAAAAGAGAGAATGTTTGCACCATCTATATTTTAAAATCGTCTTTTGAGTATGTTCCACTATTCACAATTCTACAAAATGTTAACAGTCTATAGCCAAGACTGTTTGGATAATAAAAAGCAAAAAAGCAAAAAAAAATCCCAAGTGCCCACAAACCTGCATCTCTACCTTAAGCACCAATCGATTCGATTTTGTAACGTTGCCAAATTTTAACTTCGTTCTTGATAACTAAAAACACATTACATATGAATCAAAAATCAAAGTTACAGTTTGGAAGGAGATCTAAATTCCGTTGTCACTAGGAAAGTGTAGTATTTCAGACATAAACGAATGTATTTGATTTTAGGAAATGTCGCGGTCACATGACTTTTGCGTTCACCCCTCATTTACGCAATTTATATTTATTTTTCAAGAATTTTTCATCGGAATCGCAACAGACTGCAAGTAAGTCTAGGTGTGTGAATGGTAACCTCTTGTTTTCAACAAAGGTCACTGCGCATGAGTAACGACCTCATTTATGGTCTGCGCAACTGATTTAATATTTCATCGGAAAATTGTTTCTCTGTAATTTGAATATTACGGTCAGTACACTAGTTTAAACAATTGCCAACTATCATCGAGTTCAAACGCCAGGAGCACAAAGGGATTAGGAGCCTAACTTAGCAATAAACAATTGAATTTAATAGGCTTATTTCTTCTTCCTTTTACCTTCATGGTATGACCAATGTTTGTACCTGACTATGCTCAGGTTGGCAATATTGTTCAGATTACTTGTATTTTGCTAAAATAGCAGATCATTTTTACTCATGCTAATGCTGTTATGTTAAAATAATTAAAGAATAGCTAATGATGATTACTTCATTTACAGAATCAAGATAAACATAGAAGACAGAGTACTCCCCCCAGAGGGGACAATTCACAAGGATTGAGCTCAACAGAGGTAACAACTACAACTTCCTATTAGTTATGGAGAGTTCTGAATTTCGATTCAATAAAAACAGGCATGATATCAATAGTTATCCATTGCTAGGTGAACACAATGTATTTGAAAGAGAGTCAGTCAGTGTCAATACAAACTCTCTGTAAAATCTATAAAAGAGAGATTTTATAGATTTTACAGAAAGTTTGTTGCGTTTAAATAAAGTAAACAATAGCTATTTAATGATTTATTACTTCACTTACAGAATCCAGACAAACACAGAAGACAAAGCATTCCCCCCAGAGAGGACACTTACAATGGAGTTTGTTCAACTGAGGCCAGAACTGCTATCAGCACTCTACATCAGGAAGCAGTCCGAGATTCAAACGAAAAAGAGAAAAGTTTAGCATATCAGCCACCATCGGATCAAAAATATGTAGGACAGGAAGGTTCTAGCTTAAATAAGAAGACTAAGCTGCATCATGATCCTGATGTCAAAAAGACTATCGACTTTTATCGAAAATCGTTAAGAGATTTGAAAAAGATTCATGGTGATGAAGCCATTCATCCAGACATTGCTTCAACGCTTGATGGACTTGGAAGTGCCTACAGTTCCTTCGGTGACCAACAAAACGCACTTGAGCTACACAAAGAGGCATTGGAAATGAGGAAGACACTGTATGGTCGTGACAAGCAGCACATTGATATTGCAGAATCTTATGAAAACATTGGTGCTTGTTATACATCAATGAATCAACATGAACAAGCTATAGGATATCACTTAATGGCACTGAAGATGAGACAAGATTTATTTGGTAAAACAAATCAACATCCACTGGTGGCATCTTCATTACACTTCCTTGGGAGGGCATTTGATTTACATGGCGATCACAGAAAAGCAATACATTACAATCAGATGTCCCTGAAGATGCGGAAGGAAATATATGGTACCTCACCTAACTCACATGTTGCAGTGGCACTGAATAACCTTGGGCTTGCTTACAACTCCAGTGGGGATTATAACAAAGCTATTGAATGTCACAAAGAAGCACTTCAAATCAGAAGATGTGTGTACAAAGATGGAGAACACCATGAAATTGCCATTTCACTTACCAACCTTGGATGTTGTTACGATGCCACTGAAAACTATAGTCAAGCAGTAGTATATCACAAGGAGGCCCTATCAATACAGAGAAGTGTGTTTGGTACTGATAAACCACATTCGAATATTATTGATACTCTAAATAATCTTGGAATAAGCTACCGAGATATGGGTAAAAATGAAGAAGCAATCAAGTACTTGGAAGACTCCTTAATTATGACAAAGCAAATGTATGGTACAACACATTCCAAAGTAGCCACCATTCTCTGCATACTTGGTAACATATGGTCATCCCAAGAAGAATACAGAAAAGCAGCAAACGTGAATGAAAGAGCACTGGAGATTTTGCAAGAAATAACTGAAAAGAACAGTAACACTGCAACTATAGCTGCATTACTGACAAATCTGGGAAATATCTGTCAGCGAATGGAAAGCTATGAGAAAGCAATAGAGTACCTTGAAAGAGCAGTTAAGATGGAAAAATGTTTAGAACTCAAAAGTGAAGGAAACCTCAAAATAGCAGCTTGTCTGAATAATCTGGCACTTTCCTACCACGACATCGGCAATGACGATGAAGCTATCAAGTATTATAAGGAGTCATTGTCCATGAAAAGAAACATTCTTGGCGTTGATACAACAGATGACTCAATATCCACTACTCTGCATAACATTACTGCAATATATTTTGGAAAAGAAGATTATGACAATGCAACAAAATACTATCAGGAGTCTCTGAACATGAATGAAAAGTTACATGGAAGTGATTTTTATTCTGAAGTTATCGTAGTCTCCTTATTTCAGTTTGGTCAAGTTCTGTATAATACTGACAAATATGAGCAGTGCATAGAGTGCCTACAGAGATGTGTTAAATTGAAGCAGAAAGATGTTGGCGAAGATACAACAGACGAGATGATTGCTAATGCATACAACCTCATAGGTAACTCATATTACTCCATGAACAAGTACAACGAGTCGTCAGAATACTTAGAAAAATCTTTGCAAATAAGAAGAGAAATGCAGGGACAAAGTAGCACGAGTATAGGCATTGCTTCGTCATTGAATAATTTAGGACATGTCTATGAAGCTTTGGATCATTTTAAGAAAGCTGCAGAATGCCACGAAGAAGCACTCGAGATCAGAAAAAGATATGATGATGAAGTTCATGAAGATGTTGCTCAGTCATTAGGCAATCTAGGAAGAGTTTATGTATCAATGGGGGAGTTTGAAAAAGCTGTAAAATATCACGAGGAAGCACTGAGAGTGAAGCGGAAGCTTTATCGTAAATCATCTGCACATCCCGATATACTAAGCTCGATCAATATTATTGGTAGAATTTATGCAAACATTGGCGAGCATCAGAAAGCAGTTAACTACCACCACGATGCGTTGGTAATGTCCAAATTAGTTCATGGCGAAAGGAACAACCATTCTGATATTGCAGACTGTCTTTGGAATTTAGGAAATACCTATCACTCACTACGCGATAATGATAAAGCTTTAGACTATTATCAACAATCATTAAACATGTATCGGAGTATTTCTAGAGATCCTTCATGTGATGGGGATATAAGCAAAATTCTGAACAGTCTGGCGATATGCTATAATCAACGGAAGGACACCAAGAATTCTCTAGAATGTCAGCAAGAATCACTGGAAATACTGAAAAACCTCCATGGTGCAAATGCCCTCCACCCTGATATAGCAACGCTGTATAATAACATCGGCAGTTGTTATTCCGCTCTTGGAAACTACCAAGAAGCTATAAAGAATGAAGAACACGCTCTAAAGATGAGAAAGCAATTATTTGGTGCAAACAATTCACATTCAAGTATCGCAGTGACATTACACAATCTCGGCGGTTCTTATTTCGCTCTGGGAAAGTACAATGAAGCATATGAGTACCTTATGGAAGCCTTTCAAATGGAACTTAAATTACATGGAGAGGGAACAGCACATCCATCGATATCATCTATGATTAGCAGCATTGGTAGTGTTCACAAGGCTCTTGGTAACTTTGATCAAGCTTTGGACTATCGTCAAAGGGCACTAGACATGCAGAAAACATTATACGGAGCAGAAAAAGACCACCCTGAGATAGCTGATACATATAATGATATTGGAAATATATATACAACACTAGGAGATAAACAACGTGGATTAGAATATCTGGAAAAGGCACTGGCAATGAGAGAACGTTTGTATGGTGTAGAAATTACAGCAAGTTCAGGACAAGGTCTTATGCGTCCAGTGTCTGCATATGTTAGAAAGAATAGGCAGGCTCCAGCTGAAATAATAGAAGTATAGCACTTATCATACAAATGGACAATTATGAAACCAGTTTCGGCAATAATTAACAGTAACGGCGCTGCATTTAATCATGTCAATACATTAGCTATCTTGTAAAACATGTACTGCTTGTTCCAAACTTGCTTGATTGCATTAGAAATGTAAAAAATCAACTACATTTTGTAAGCAGTGTCACCATTCAGAGATAATTATTGAATTCTTGCTAAATGTGCAAACCCGAATAAAATCCATGTAATTCGACCAGTATGATAAATCAGTGGCGGCGGAATCAAACAGAAATCCTTCGTGGCAGCAAAATTTGCCCCTCAAAATTCAAGAAATAGCGTTTCAGAGGGTCTAGATTCCAAAATGTAAGTCCCCTAGTAAGTTTGCGCTTTCAGCGCAAGGTTAGTGAGCAGATCTCGCCCCCCCCCGATGCAAAATTTCGTGCTGACGCCTTTGTAAATGGTTACTGTGGCACTATATCGACAAATATAGAAATTGATTTCCAACCATGGAGACTTATATTAGTCTTATTTGTACGTTTATAAGCATGTTACAGTGCGTGAGCTAAATGCCTGTGAAACAATGATGTAATTATTATTTCACAGTGTAACAATATTTACTTTCAGACATAATTATGATTGTATGTAAATGTACGAACATTTGTTAGTATCGTTTTTGACAATTTGTACCAGTACATAGTGCATTGCTAAATATAGAATAGTATATTATATTCCATTACATTACATTACATATTTACTATTCACAGTGACATATTTTGTAATGATACTTTAAATGCATTTGTAAATTTGCATTTTGATTCTGTATATTGTTTTCTTGAAAAGTTTCTGCGTTTTATACGCGTTACTCTCAGTCTGGAAAGGTGTGTACGTTATCCATGCTATGTACACATGTAGTTTAATACACAATGCATGCAGAAGTCACAGATTGTTGTGATGATAACAAATGCAATTCCGACATACATATAAAATGCAAAGCGCATTATGTACATATAGATATAAATGCAATTACGTTATCATTACCGAAACTGACTGACACCCTGAATGCTTTTGGCTGTAGAGGTTATTATAAGTCCACACTGATACGATTGTTTGATTCGTTGGTTTCCTCGGTCCACTATTTGTTATATAGACTTTAAAAACGTAACGTTTTTACGATTTCATAAAACACAAAATTATAAGTTTGATATCTAACTGTTTACGACGAGTAGCCTCCAGCTACACATTGTTCAAAAACATTGTCTAGGATAGTACACTAAGTATTGATGTGTTGTAGTTAAAGGCGACGGTCGTCGCACAGCGCGTGTTCGAATTTCATGTAAACAAACAATATATTTTACACGCGTTTTTTTCCGTATCGAACATGACGCAGCGCGACGACCACCGTCCTTTAATGTTCATTCAGCTTTAACATTTATTTTTTACACAAACGTGTTGCTGTATTTGTTTTGCCTTTCTGTTCAGTATGTTTTTTCCCAGAATGCATATTTTTTTATCACAGTCTGTCGTCCATCGCAGCTTCCGGTTCTCACTCTGTCGGTATCTTCTACACAAAATATGCATGTAAATATGATTTTCGAACATTGTAAATTTGTATTAATAAACAGAAAGCTGGTTACGTTTTTCTGTCTTTTATATATCATATGTACGAACAATGTGTACGAATAAACGAATGGTTTTAACAATAAGTCACAAGATTAGTATAAAGATATTTATTCCATAGTATAACATGGATGTTTCAGATATTAGTTAAAATACATACTATGCTTGGATGTTGTGAGTTTTGTGTTAACAAAAATCAGTGCGTTCTGGTATGTGATTCGAAGACAATACAAGTGGGGTCATGGAGTCAATAGTTGTGTTGGGCTAAGATCAAAAGTTGGGTTGCCTTGGGGTCAATATTTGGGTTGGCCTGAAACCAATAGTTTTGACGTGGAAGCAATAGTTGGATAGGCCTGGAGCCAAGAATTAATTTGGGCTAAAATCAATAGTTGGTTCCTAAAGTCAATATGTGGGTTGGCCCTGGAGTCAATAGGTTTAGCGTGGAAACAATAGTGGGATTGGACTAGAGTTGATAGTTGTTCTGGCCTGGAGTTGGACTAGAGTTAATATTGGTTTGGCGTTTGGTCTGTATTTAGGTTGGTCTGGGTTGTGATTTAGCCAGGCTGAATAGATGGGTTGGTTTGGGTTGTGATTTAGCCAGGCTGAATAGATGGGATGGTTTGGGTTGTGATTTAGCCAGGCTAAATAAATGGGTTGGTCTGGGTTGTGATTTAGCCAGGCTGAATAGATGGGTTGGTTTGGTATGCAGTAAATGCTTGGGTTTGCTTTGGTCAATTGTAGGCGTGACTTGTAGTGTTGGCATAAAGTCAAGATTTGAGTTCGCCCTGGATTCTATAGTATGGTTGATCTGGGTCAACAGTAGGTTTGGTTTGGAGTAAATAATTTAGTTGGGCGGGTGCCAAGGTTTGGTTTGGTCTGCAATTACTAGTAGGTTTGGCTTGCAGGAAATCAATAATTTAGTTTGGCTTAGACCCAAGTCAACAGAAGGTTTGTTATATTGGCTGGAAATCAGTGACCCATTGTTTTTGTCGTTGTTCTATTTTAGTATATTTAGTAATTGCTACACATATATAGATTTGCCTATTCAGTTTTCTTTGTTGTAGCCACCAGTATATAGCGCCACCTAGTGGCAGCAGATTCTCAGTCTGCTTCAGTATTTTTGTTTTCCCGGCTGTTTTATATTTTTCAACCCCCCACCACTTCCACATTTCTTTTATTTTTATTTTCCACACCCATTTTCTGAATTGTAACACTTTTAACAGCATTGTGAATTTAATCAGTGTCAATAATTACTTACTTTCCTGTTGTGGTCCGGGGTACTTTGGGGCCTATGTTCAGGTCTAGTTTTGTATTAAAGTACCTCCTTTCTGCTAAACAATGTGTGTGTGTGTGTGTAATTCAGTTATCCATTTTCTAGCATATTGTAGCAATTATTGAAAAAAATCGGCCCGGTAAGGGGTTCAATCCCACAACAGAAACCACAGCAGGCTGAGCTATCGGATTTCTGATGGAGGTTTCTGGAACAAATAGGTATTAGACAGATCATGCCTATGTCACATGTATTAAATGAATACATCTTTTGTATTTACGTAAATTAAAGCGGGGGAGTCGTCACCTGCGCATGCGTCAGATGGCCATAGCGTGTCACTATTTACAAACAAGCGTCTACCCATGAGCCTTTTGCGTTTTTAGCGTGTGTTGTTATCGTCGCTTGGAACTCAATTCTCGCGCGTGCGCATGTGACGACCTTCCCGCTTTAATATACGTTCAGCGCAGTGCACTGGCAATGCAACTGATTGCTGAATCTATGGCATTTGCAGTTGTAAACGGACTCTAACTCATGCGATTCACTATAATAACACAATGAAGTGTTCTAATTTATGAAACAATATATATAGAGAGGTCTCATTTACCAAAATGACTATACCATGGATACAATTGAAAATGACTGTAATGTTTTATTGGTAAAATAAATAGGTGTTAAGGCTTTCTACAAAGCAACAAGAACACCGGAAATGATACATGAATTCTTGTGCGTTCTGGTGATGTATCTTCACCAATGTGACTCATCAACCTGGAAATATGAAATATGAAATATAATTATTAATTATAATTATTTTCAAGCACTCCTTTTAAAACGTATCAGCAATCATTCGAACGTTCGAATTTGTTTTTGTATGGGGTAAACTACGCCATTAACATTGAGGAATTCCAGGTTATTAACATCACATTCAAACACGTTTTTGTTGACACTGAACACAGAAGCGCTATATAGCCACGGAAACAGAATCCCGTCAGCGGAAAATATTTTTCGCTGTCATTTCGCCCTATAATCTCACAATAAATTCATACAAGCAAGAAAAAGATGTATAATAATGTTATCACGTGTTATAATATTATTGCGGTATGCACGTGATAACCTCATATGATTGCAAATTAACTCAATTAACACAGACATTATCGATGATGTTAAAGTAAGTTGAATGTCCTGGCCCTTATATTGACAAAGTCAAAACTAATGTTAATTTAATGTTAATGAACTTCAACAAAATTTATTGAATTGAATTACTAGAAATCCTGACTACACATCCCTCCCTATTTTGCTAAATGGTTTAGCCCGAATACCAGCACTGTTCTTTAATATGGTATAAATTTATTGAAAATAAAATTTATTGATTTTTATTAGGTTATTGAACAACAATTCAAAGGGCGCCCTCTATTGATAAGGCGTACACAAAATGTGGCAAAACAAGAAAATGCTGAGAAAGGCAAACAATTAATTCGAAGAAAAAAAAATATTCCTCATTTAAAATAAAAAAAAAATAGCCTAGAATTTGAACGCCCGAACTTGCAAAGCAAAGGTCTTAAGCACTACAGTGTAAACTTTTCTAAGAAAAAATGAATAATTACAGGCATTAAAGCGCGGTGGTCGTCGCGCAGCGCGTGTTCGAATTTCATGTAAATAAACAATGTACTTTACACGGGTTGTATACGTCGCTATGAGTCCAATATCGAACAGGACGCGGCACGACGACTGCCGCACTTTAGATTAAACTCCTGCCACCCATAAGTAAATTATACAGTGATGTCATGTATACCAATGACAAGGGTCGAAACAAACTACCCTCTTGTTGATCGATAACCTCTCCACTATGGTTGTATTATGCCTGCATAGACTATAAAAAAGCTTTTGAAAGAGTAACTGTCATTCTTAAAAAAGGCTAAATTATTTTTATCTTGCGTACTATGTACTCAGATATTGAAGAATGCATTCGATCACCAGTTGGAATTTCTGACTTTTTCAAAGTAACGTGAATTAGCTGTTCAGCAGGACAGTACTTTCACTACTTCTTTTTAATTTATTTATAAATCTAGCTCTAATTAGTGTAACCGCTATTGGCATTGACCGACTATTAAAAAAAATTGCATAAT